ACTGAAGCACATTAAGGGGGCAAAGTCGAGCCAACGACATTAAAAAGGGGCGGCTAACCGGGAGGCAACCCGGGGGTATTTTTGTCATTTCTTATATTTTCATTGTATTTTCTTTGTTTTCAAACTTCCAAGTTGTTTTTCATGCTAAAAGAGGGTAAAAAATCATTTTCCGGGCAATAGTGGAGTAGCGGGTTGCAATTTCAAAAAGTGAAAAAATCAAAAAAATTTGGCTTTTACAGACATTTACACGGCCGTGTAAACTTATGCTTATGGTTTACACGGGCCGTGTAAACGACCAGCTACCGCAGTCAAAATTCAGCATTTACACGGCCGTGTAAATTTTGCCCTTCTGTTTACACGGGCCGTGTAAACGTAAAAACAGAGTTGGACGTTTTTTAAGGCTAAAATCGATTTCTTTTGTTCATTCTTTTCACAATACCTGCGTTTTTTCTCCTCGCTTCTGCCCTCTTCGAAAAAACCCATAAAAACACTCAATCTTCCTCAATTTATGCACCTAACAATAATCTCCCTGACCCGATCTTCTGTCAACACTGTTTCCCCCTGGCCGATAATCTCAGGTGCCACTGGGGCCTCCTGCTCACTCTGTCCTGATCCTGATCCGGATCCAGTCACGACACGCCTCGTAACCACCATACTAAAATAGAAGAGGAAGATATCAGACAATCCGCCTAGATAACCGGAGACCAACTCCCTTCTAAACCCTAGGGGTTGTGACTTCCTTGCTACGCGTATGGGTCTTGTGCTTTCAGTAGTACGGGCCCATACTACCTTCCACACCTACCCATATTTGTCTCAAGTATCACCACAACACCCTAACAATATACATAAACATAGCGAGCATTAAATCCCCACTCCCTGAGGAATGCTAAATATCTCATACTGGCCTCCCGGCCTCACACAACCCACCCATCCATGAAATCTCCATCAACCCCTGCAGCACTAGTGTATGCTAGCCATACATAATGTTGGACCCTATAGACTTTCGAATATCCATTCCTACCCTAAGCCCTAATCAATAAGAACAGAACGTAAGGCCAGATCAAACATTCTCATGCTATAAGATCTTAATTATATACAACTGTGATGCATACCCAAGTAACTACAGTAATGATGTCAATTTCATATAAGGAAAACCCTAGGCTAACAGGCATCATGCAATCAGGCAATTCTATCATGCAATTCCTGAAGATCCCTAGCCAAGCACTAGCATGTTGTTCTAACATATCACAAAATCAATTAACTGTATCGTATTTTGGGGTCTACTTACTGGCTCCGGCTGATCGTACCCTCTGCATCCTCCTTATTTTGAAAACCATTTGAAAATCATTTAAAAATCTTTCCTTGATTTGAGACTGGATTCACACGAATGTTCCTCCAATTCACTCAAACCAAGGCTCTGATACCAACTTGCAACACCCATAAAATTCACGCCAATTTAAAACATTTTAACCCATTCAAAAACCATTAAGTTATTACAACTTGTTTTCAAAATAGTTTAAACATCAGAGTGTCCCCAGAACAAAATCACAAAATCCTGAAATATGAGGAGCGGTACGATCACGCCTTTGCCTTGCCACGATCACCTGATGTACCTGAAACAACAGACTGAAACCGTAAGCTCGAAAGCTTAGTGAGTTCCCCCAAAATACCCGTACACACATAATCATACAAATACAGCAATGAACAGCATACTATGGGTCCAATCAATCATCAGGTTGGAATTCCCCAGGCCCTCAACCATCGGGTTGGAATGCCAACATACTACGAGTCCAATCATCCTCGGGATGGAATACTCTCGGCCCACAACCATCGAGTTGTAATGCCCACACCTATACATACAAATAACTACTATGGGTCCAATCATCCCTCGGGATGGAATACCCCAGGCCCTCAACCTTCAGGTTGGAATGCCCACCTACTATGAGTCCAATCATCATACCGGGATGGAATACTCCTGGCCCTCAACCATCGGGTTGGAATGCCCACCTACTATACATACAAATAACTACTATGGGTCCAATCATCCCTCGGGATGGAATACCCCGGGCCCTCAACCTTCAGGTTGGAATGCCCACCTACTATGAGTACAATCATCCTACCAGGATGGAATACTCCTGGCCGTCAACCATCGGGTTAGAATGCCCACATACTAACAAACATGTACACCTATCAAATAACCATATAACAGTCTACAAAACAACATACTAGGGCCCTATCATCCTAGCGGGATGGAATACCCTCTACTAATTCTCAACGCGTGCACATATAACAGATAATCTCCTAGCAGCATACAGACAGTCAGACCAACTACAGGTCACTAATCATAGCCACATCCAATCTACCAGAATACCGATCTAATAGAGTATACCATCATATAGCCATCCTATCTACCAGGATGCCAACTAACATAACATACCATCATAAAGCCATCCTATCTACCAGGATGCCAACTAACATATCACAGCAGTAACTAACTCAAATAACAAATCAAAGGGCCGGCCTTGGTGCCTTAGACCCTTGGGTATAGTGAGGATAACTCACCTTGCAACTGCCGAACCGAACCATGAAAGCACAATCCCGAAGCACTGCCCCAAACTCCAACACCTATAGCCATCAAAGATCCAATGACATGAATATCCAACTTACCATAATACCCTTGAAGGTCAAACTGGTCAAGGTCAAAGTCCTGGCCAAAGTCAATCTTCCTGATTGACCCTACTCGCTGAGTCAACCCGCTGACTCGCCGAGTTCCCAAACTTCAGAAAACTCTTGTATCACGACTCGACTCGCCGAGTCGCCCCAAGACTCGTCTAGTTCAACAATCTCTGAATTCCAACATGTCCAACTCACTGAGTCGCCAACCGACTCACTGATCCGAAGCTTAACCAAAAGAGGTTGGGGTTCCGCGACCTGACTCGCCGAGTCCAAGGCAATCTTTAACAGACTCGTCGAGTTGTTCTTCCCACTCGTCGAGTCCATGCCTATCTTCATATGACTCGCCGAGTCCACCCATGTGACTCGCCGAGTCCCTTCAATCCTTCATCCATACAGAGGCTTTTCGAGCCATGCAGGGGTCCAAACTGTAGATCCACTCTTCTAGGGCATAACCCCTACGCAAAGTTGCAAACTTTACGTGAAACCAAGGAGTTAAAGGTCCAAATCACTCTAGGGCTTGGGTTTAAGACAAAGGGGCTTCACCAACAACTCATTGACTGATGCTTTATGACATTCTGGACCAACACAAGTCTAGATCTGAAGTAGCAACCTCAGATCTAAACTCCAAACCCGAAATAGATCTCAAACATATCAAAATGGCCCCAAATCTCTTTCATGAATAGATCTAGATGCAAAAGAGTGAAGGTAACAGCTTATTACCTCCAAGATGTGCCCAAACTGAAGTAGATTCTGGATCTACACCACTCCCTTGATGCAAGCCCTTTTTGATCTTCAAGTTTCTTCCACAAAAGACGACTTCCAAAGCTTCAATCTCCCTCCAAAGGCGTCACACACACGAGTTTAGGGTTTACTGACTTTCAAGGGCAATAAGGAGGCTGAAGGGAGGACATATGGTCCTTTAAATAGGGTGCAACCCTTAAGATTAGGTTTTTCTCTTTTCAGCACCAACTCGTCGAGTCTAGCTGCCGACTCGGCGAGTTGGTCACTTAACTCGTGCCCAGAGCCTGCTCCGACTCGACGAGTAAGCGTACCTACTCGTCGAGTACCTTATTCAATTTGCACTTAAGTCCTTTAATCATACTTCTAAATTTTGGGATGTTACATCTGACATTGCTTTTAATCTCCTTTTCCATGACACTGACCAGCCATCCTCTCACCATGGCGTTGCACCACTTCCAGTTCATCAAATCGACAGATCCTTCTTCTGGTATAGGTATGGAGTTATCGATGAACCTCATCTTGTTTTTAGAGAGAAGGGCATTCGTCATCTCATTCTTCCAGTATTTGTAGTTTCCATCACGGAGAAGGTTTTCTCCAACGAAATTTAATCCAGTGTGATCAGAAGTGGTGAGATAATATGGTGATGATACATCGATGGACCTGTTTGTCGGTGGCGGTAGTGGCACAGATCCATCACCGACGACCATTGTTTGATAAAAATTAGGTTAAAGCTCTCAAACTTCGCTCTAATACCAAGAAAATTTTAGAGAATGAAAATGTTTTCTTATTCGAATTAATTAAAATCGGATACAATGAGACTTTATATAGAAGTCTAACAAGATTCCTAAACACAATAGGACAATAACTAAACAGAGATAAAACAATTAAAGATAAATACAATTCGTAATTATATTCAGTCTCAATAGACCCTAATTATAAAACTCATTTGGCCTGTAAAATGCACTTGATTATTTATAACTATATAGGTTAACCATGAGATTATTCCCGTTGGCTTTGTTACTATATATATATATATATATATATATATATATATATATATATATATATATATATATATATATATATATATATATACAGCAAACTCCTTTTTAAGGAGTGAACCAACGAATTATTCATCTACCAAATGCATAAGTTTTTTTTTAAACAAACATTTTTTGAGAACCAGAACTTGGAAGCTCACACGAATCAGACTCCCATCGCCATTTCATATATCACTTTTCGATCTTCTTGGAGGTATATTTAGATTTCAATTTTCAACCTCTCTCGTATTCTCATCGTTCTCGAATTCCATTCTGATCGGCTCTACCAATACGGAAACACTGACAGATTAATTTTGGAATTTTCTTCGCACTGGTATTTGGGTATTCTGGAATCATATTATCCTCTACTACTCTTGCAACAACATTGCTAAACCTCACCCCAAGTTTTACATTCCTACTCGCCATATTATTTAGGTCAAAAGTCTCTTTATGCTATCTCGTCTAGTTTCCCCTTGATTTATTGATCTTTTCTTAATGAAACAAAAGATCGAGTCTCATTCAATTTAGATTGATGGTTTCAGGATGGAAGAATTTGACTTAAGATTATCCACACATGCAAAGTTCATCGACACTGTGATGTCAATTGCAGGAGCTATCATCGTGACTTTTTACAAAGGTCCTTCCATTCTATCATCTTCTTCAAAACCAGAAATCTCTCAGCATTTTCTTGTTCTAGCATCTGATTGGGTACTTAGTGGTATCTTTCTAGGAATAACCTCAGTTCTTTCTTCAGTGTGTTTCATTGGACAGGTGAAATAGTACACAATAACTGATAACCACTTTGGATTATAACTTATTCCTTTTCTAACGTTTTTCTTTTTTGTCAATGAATTCAGGCAACTATTCCTAAGAAATACCCTGCAGAGGTGATTGTAATGTTCTCTTACTGCATTGTCTACAATATCTTATCTGCTTTAACTTCTTTCATTGTGGGAAATGATCTGAGTGCTTATAGTTTATGGCCTAATAAGAGGCTTCTTTTTGTCCTCTACTCGATAAATTTTTAATTTTTTTGCTAGATTATTAATTTTATGAAAGGGTATTTACATATAAAAGAAACAAACAAGGGATTTTTCGGTCAGCTTTTCAATTTACAGTTCAAGCATGGTGTCTAAAAAGAAGAAGTCCAGTTTTTTGCTATGTTTCATCCAATAGGAATTGTGATCTCCACATTTATTGGGTTTCACATCACCACAAAAGGGTTCTTCAATAGCGTGTAAGGGAGTCCCTTGGAGTCCGGAATGATGACATATTGTTTGCAACCATCAATAGTAAGACATTCTATACTTTTTTTATTTTTTCTGATAAAAGATTAAAGATGTATAATAATAATAATAATAATAATAATAATAATAATAACAATAATAATGCGGCAATGTGCAGGTGTTTCAAGGGGAAAAGGGCAAGACTTATTTTTACGCTCATTTTACGAGAGCTTACAATTGATCAAAGAAAGAGGTTGCAAGTTCCATCAATACATGTAGTGATTGTAGGGAGAGATATGAGTGTACAAACAAATTTTGAAACAAAAATTAGGGATTTTGTAGAACAGAAGAAGATTCAACATCGAGTTCATATGTATATGGATTTTGTAGCACTAAAGAAATCAGGCTCCCATCGCCACCTCATCTGGTTCTAAATGGTTGTAACATCCCAAAATATAGAGGGTAAAATTCCATTTTTAAATATAAAATCAACCATTCATTTCATTATTTCCAAAAGACCATCATAGTATAAAATGTATTTTCTTGAAACAACAATATCAAATCAGAGAAATCATACGGAAAATCATCGGTGGATGCGATGCGATCAGCCTGAGCTCTTCCCCTTAGCACCAGATATACCTGAAACATAAACATGAAAACATAAGCACAAAGCGTAGTGAGTTTGTCTAAAATACCACATACCATACATACAATGGGCCCCGCCCGGTACAAATTTGTCAGTAACATGCGATGGGCCCCGCCCAACACATTCATCAGGCCTCGCATGGCATCGGGCCCCTCACAGTATACATAGAAACACATACAATACATGCAATTGTCACAGAGACAGTTAGCATCCTATAAAAATAATCAAAGGGTCGGCGTGCCTTCGACCCACAAATATTGTGAAGAGACCTCAATCTAATGATAAACAAATCACACACTCGAGATGCTGCTACCACTACTCCTCACACTGAAAACATAAAAAATCAACCCTAATAAATGATCAGGGTAAAAACCCATAATCAATGGTCCAAAACATATTCTATCTTATTAAGGGTAAAAGACCATTTTACCCTTCCGAATCTTGACCCAACTAATCATGGCCCAAGCCCAATATGACCCAAGGCCCAAAAATGGCCCAAAAACGATTTGTCGGAGTATGCCATGCGTATCTCCCTACTACGTCCTGCGTACTGAGCTACCATAGAAGGAGAACATTGGTTGAAGCCATTACGCCCTGCGTATCAATAGTTCATGCATGGTTAGAATATAACCTTCAAGATCTAATTTTTATTCAATAATAAACTCAGACACATCAAGAAATGCTAACCCAAGCTTCAGGAATAGCTTTTACTTACAAGAGCCAACCCTTGGGACCAAAATATGCCAAAACCTAAGCTATTCTAGATCTATGCAAAAGAATCATAACGGTTGAGACTTTATGCCTTCTGGAAGATGGTGAAGAAGAGTAGCGCCTAGATCTATAAGCTATGGACTCCAAGCACACCTTCCAAGTTCTTCTTCTTCATTATAACATACCAAAAATCATACAAAAGCTTGAGATTGTCACAAATGGAGCTAGGGTTTCGTGGGGGATGAAACAAAGTGTGGTGGCTGATGATAAGAAGGGTTTCCAATGGGTTAAGGTATTTAAATAGGGTCCAAGACCCTAATTAGGGTTTGCATTCAACACTAGTACACCCTGCGTACTCTAGGTACACCCATCATACTCGAAGAAACCTCGCGTCCAAGTTTAGTGAGTTATGTGTAACTATTAATTACGCCCAACGTACTTACTCATTTTCAAAAATTAATATACACAAATCTTAAAAGATATTACCTTGTATCCGGGCATTACAATTCTCCCCCAATTGAATCAGACTTTGTCCTCAAAGTCCGCCGACACAAATAAGTCTAGATAATGCTCCCTGATCTCCTCATCAGGCTCCCACATCCACTCTGATTCCTTCTGGTGTTTCCATTGCACCTTCACTAGACCCACCTCTTTATTTAACAGTGTCTTCGTTTTCTTATCTAGAATCGCAACCGATCTCTCTATATAATTCAGGCGCTCGTCCACGTGGATATCTTCCAAAGGAATCAGTACGGAATCATCAACCAAACATTTCCACAGATGAGTGACGTGCAAACTGTTGTGAATCTGACTAAGCTCCTCGGGTAACTCCAAACGATAAGCAACCCTGCCCACCCGAGCAATAACCTTAAAAGGACTAATATATATGGGGCCTAGCTTGCCCCGTTTCCTAAACAGGATGACACCCTTCCAAGGTGACACCTTTAGGAGTACCATGTCTCCGACCTAAAACTCCAAATCTGATCGGCGCCTATTAGCATAACACTTCTGTCGTATCTACGCAGTCTGGAACCTCCCACGCACCTGTTGGATCAACTCGGCAGTCCAGAGCACCACCTATGTTCTACCCATGACTCGCTGACCGACCTCGCCCCAACAAATCGGGGTCTGACATTTCCTTTCATAGATAATTTATAAAGGAGGTCGATTAATACTGGTGTCGCTGTTGTTGTTGTTAGAAAACTCATCTACACGAATATACGTATCCCAACTACCGCCAAAATCCAGCACACATGCCCGAAGCATATCCTCCAAATTATGAATGGTTCGCTCACTCTGTCCATCTTTCTACGGATGAAAAGTCGTGCTGAAGTGTAGTCGTGTACCAAACTCCTCATGAAACGTCTTCCAGAATCTATAAGTGAACCAAACATCCCGATCGGAAACCACAGAGACTGGGACCCATGTCGTGCCACCAACTCACGATGTAAACATTTGCTAATTTCACTACATAGATGCTCTCCTGAATAGTAATGAAATGCGCACTCTTGGTCAATCGATCCAAGATGACCCAAATCGAATCCACCCCTCGCACAGTCTGTTGTAGCTTCATGATAAAATCCATCGTAATCTCTTCCCATTTCTAAACGGGAACACCCAACGGGTCCATCTTTTCGTGAGGTCGTTGATGGTCGGCCTTGACCTTCCTACAATTCAAGCACCTCTCCATGTACCAGGCCACATCCCAGTTTATGAAGGGCCGCCAATAATTAATTCGAAGGTTCTATACATCTTTGTCGCACCCAGATGAATAGAAAACTTCGACTTATGCGCCTCCTCCATCAAAATCGGTAGTACGCCCCCGAAATATGGAACCCAAACCCCCCAATGAAGGGTCAACAATCCCTAGCTATCATAATCAATAGAGGACACCTGACCCACTATATGGTCACTCTTCCCGTGCTCCTCCTTCATAGCCTCAATCTGAGCATCATGGATCTGCTCTAAAAGTGTGGTAGTCAATGTCATCCTCAAACAAACATCCCTGGTAAGGGTACCGTCCGCCTTACGGCTAAGAGCATCGGCCACTATGTTGTCATTTCTCGAGTGATAAAGGATCTCACAATCATAGTCCTTCATCACATCGAGCCATATGCGTTGTCTCACGTTCAGATTTGGCTGATCCGTCAAATACCTCAAAATCTTGTGGTCCGTGTAGATGATATAAGGAACCTCGTACAAGTAATGATGACAAATCTTGAGGGTGAAAACCATTGGCCCCAACTTCAAATCATGAGTGGGATAATTCGTCTCATGAGGTTTCAACTGCCTCGAAGCATAAGCTATCACATGACCCCTCTGCATCAAAACTACACCCAAACCCGAAATCGACACATCTCAATAAACCACAATGTCGTCCACACCGGAGCCTTAAACAACTTCTTTCTCAAGGTCTTAAATGTCGTCTGCTGGTCAGGCCCCCAACGCAAAGTAACCGACTTCTTCGACAACCTAGTTAATGGAACTGTGATCCTGGAGAAGTTCTTAATAAACCTCCGATAATACCCAGCCAAACCAAGGAAACTCTGAATCTCAAATGGAGACTTTGGAACCTATCACTGCATAACAACCTCAATATTGGTTGGATCAACCAATATACCCTACTGATTGAGAAGGTGCCCTGGAAACTACACCCCGTACAACCGGAACTCGCACTTGAAGAATTTGGTATAAAGCCTCTCCCTCCTCATAGTCTCCAAAACCTCTCGAAGATGATCCTTATGCTTCTCCTTGTTCTTAAAATAGACCAAGATATCATCAATGAAAACAATCACGGACAGATCCAGTATCGGTCTGAAAACCCTATTCATGAGATCCATGAATGTTGTTGGTGCATTGGTGAGCCCAAATTGAATCACCACAGACTCGTAATGACCATAACGAGTCTTGAAAGTCGTCTTCTGAATATCCTCATCCCTAACCCTCATATGATGATATCCTAAATACAGATCAATCTTGGAGAACCAAGACGCACCCTACACTTGGTCGAACAAATCATCAATCCTCAGAAACGGATAACGGTTCTTCACCGTTATCTTGTTCAGCTCCCGATAACCGATCCACATCATGTGGGAGCCATCTTTCTTCTTCAAAAATAGAATCGTCACTCCCCAGGGTGAAATACTCGGTCTGATAAACCCCTTGTCTAATATCTCCTACAGCTATGTAGACAACTCTTGCATCTCCGGCGGTGCTAACCGATAAGGTGCCTTGGCTATCGAAGTCGCACGTGGAACTAGATGAATATGGAACTCCACTTTCCTTTCCGCAAGAACTCCAGGAAAGTCCTACGGAAACACATTTGAATACTCTCAAATAACCAGTACATCATCAATCATCGCCTCGAATCGACCAATCCATCCCTACAATAACCTTGCTCTCGTGCAAAGGAATAGGAACTAAATCAATCAAATACAGCTCGCTA